AATTATAGCCTTAAGTGAGTTCTAAATATGGAAGCTAAGAAACTGTTCTACAGCAGCAGGATAAGGATCAGAAATCATCTTATCCAAATATAGGTGTCCTCGTTTCATACCAAAGAAAAGTGAAGCCGCAAGGATAACCTGTATCACCATGCAAGATATGAGCCTCCTTATTTGCCATAGAGTCGGTGAGAATTCTTGAGAATATTTCCAAAATGCATGGAACACGTTAGAAAGCAATAAGCACTTTTTCCAAGAAGAAAGGTTTCAAAAAACCCCAAAGAAACAAAACCAGTAACGTTAGCTTAAAATTACTTACAGAAGTAACAGGCTATCATTGAATTTTGGGATACAGTATTAGGTTTGGTTCCATACATCTAACGGGACTCCAGCTCCCATATTCATCCCACAGAGATGAATTAAGTTTCAAATAGAAGTTAAGCTCAAGATAGAAAGATGACTCAAGATGGGAGGTTTCCTGTCATTTTCTATTTAACAGAACACTCCAGATGACAAAGACCTTTTTTTACTTGACCATTGTTGCCTCACCTTCAACAGAGCGAGGTATCTGGTTTCATGACAAATCAAAGTAACATCTCTATGCAGTATCGTCCTTAAAGTCTTAAGATAGCAGCATGCTATGAAGAGGAAGGCAACTACTCCCATTCCTAGAGGTACAGAAAAATACTTCAGCATAAAAGCCTGCCAAACCAGAACTGGTCTTTCCACATCAATCATGAAAAATTCACTTTGAAAACACTCATTTTGTTAGAAAACCGTTACAAGAGTATCTTCATAGAGGTTCCCTGCCCCATACTGAGTATCAACCCACTGCAATAACAATCTGAAAGAAAAAAAAAAAAAACAACTCTAAGTGTTACATTTGCACCTCTGAATAGTATTGAAAGCAGATAAGGAGATAAGACCTACTTGCTGGCAAAACAGAACATTGTGCAGTCCATAGGAAGCAACAGTATTAGAAAAAATCCATAACTATTATCATCTTAGTTTTGACACAAAGATTTTCTTCTCTCTACCTGTCCCACACTCAACTTCTGTGAAACCAGTAGAAACTTCTCAAAAAATTTGTTCTTTTTGCACTGGTTGCTATGTCTGCACTTTCCCTCCAATTTAACAGGAACAACAAACAGGCTACAAGGATAGCATATTTTGAAGGGCTGGCAAATTTTTTTCTATTTCCTAAATCAGCACATCAGTTACATGAATTAGTGATACACACTGCCAGCTGACTATTTAAAAAAAAAAAAAATTACACATTTCCAGACCAGAAAACTTTCACTCAGCAACAGTCTTACTACTACCAGTTAAAAAAAATTTGTCACTTCCTCTTAGTGAGCCCTGTAATTACTTTAACACATTTTACCTCATTCTTTTGGCATTATGTTTTACATTGCTCAGTGATTTTGTGCTCTCATATTATCTTTTCCTCATTTTCTCAAAAAAAGTGCAACTTATTCAGGTATTTAAGAAACAATACATTTATTAGGGTTTTTTTTTATAGCAAGATTTTCACCATCTTCCTCAAGAACACTGCTAGAAAGGTATGTCAATAAACATAATTATGAAACTTTTGTCTCCCTGATAAACGGGAATACTAGTAGCCAGGAGAAAAAAAGATTTGTGAGCTGACTAGCTCGTATCTTCTCAGTGTCTTGCAGACTAAACTGCTTTGGAGATTTGGAGCACCCCAGCTCCCACAGCTGGGAAGGAAAAAACCCAACAGATTAAGAAAGAAGAGAAATCAAGCCAGGATGGGATAGATGGATATAGTGAGAGGTTACGAGCTAGCTTAAACATGCACATAGCCTCTGGCCTCAGGACACCAGTTGCAACAGCTTTTGGGATGCATAAAGTAAAACACCTGACAACTCTTTGCCTCAAGAGCCCCCTCTGCTCGTCAGGGAATACCCCACCACCTGCTAAAGCCGACAGCTTTGTTTCTACAACAGACTGCTCTTGCCCCAACTGGAACAGTTATGGGTTGATGCTCAAAGACTACCTCATTTTATTACACATGCCAGAGTCAGTGAAGATAATTGCATCCAAGGAGTGTTAAAAAAACCAAAACAAACCCAAATTACACTTCTACCTAGTCTTTCTGGCAGCTTTGTAATAGGGAATATCTAGGTTGTAAACCCCGATCTGGAGCCTTGACTCCTTGTCATCGATACTACCCAGTTCCTTTGACATAGCAATGTCCATTTTGTGTTAGGGAAGATGCTCTTTGGAGCAAAATACTTCTAATAGGTCAGCTACACTCCACCTTCACCAAGCGATTACCTAAAAGGGAGCTAGGGAGAAGGTGTTTTGATACTTCACCCTCAATTTTTCTAAGCAAAAGAGGTAACAGAACAACTTGGCTTTAGAGCTGTCTTGCCTGCTGGGAACTTGACAGAAACCTTACAGTTCACATGGAGAAAGTAACTGGTAAACTATGAAAAAGCTTAGTGTCTGAGTTAAACCAAAGTGACCTAGAAATGTAACCTCCCATTCCACACAAGTAAATGGACATTAAAAGATTTCTATTTGAACAGAGCTATTCCAGGTGCTATCTTTGCGGAGCAGATGACTTTTGTAGTGATACTTTTTGCATAGAAAGCATTACATTTCAGAACAGCTGATCCAGTTTTGCTTCAGACTTTTTAGAAGAGTAAGGGAGACTAGGAAAAATAGATAGTTTTAATGTCCTGCTTCAAGTCTCTCTGACAATCTCTGACCGGGCCTTCCTTGAGTTTATTTCTACAGCACAATCGAAACGAACCATCTGTTTGAATGGGGTTTGCCTTTTTTTGTTTGTTTGTTTTTTAGTTCCGGGATCACAAACTGAGTTCTCAGAAATGGAAAGCAAGAGGATAAATGCTTAAGAAATCAATAATGCTTAAGACCTACATTTAACAAAGTGTCAGAAACATAAGTGTCTTTGCCCAGCACTAGAATACCTTGTCTACACAGTCAACATTCTATCCAGCTTCAGCAGCCTGTGTAGCATTATTAAAGCTAGCTCTGGAGCCTTCAATGGGGAAAGCAGCAAGAAGTACTTCTGCCATTAAACACATTTCATGGAACGCGATAAACAAGAAGTGTGCGACCTTTCTACACAAAAATATACAGTAGCTCCTTGAAGAAAGGGTGCATTTGACTAATGGCAACATGCTGGTTGTAGCCCTCAAACAGAATTAAAAAAAACCTTAAGTACAGTACTTCCCCACACATGCGGCTTTTTAACATCAGGTTACAAACATCTAAGCACTCAGGTTCTCTGTGCTAACAGCTGCAAGAAAGTATTTGGCTGCACTGCCTTCACAACAGGACTGGACTCCCCAACAGGCTCAACACTGCATCGACACCACTTTCAAATCAGGTATTTGTACCCAAACGGTCAGCAGATCAGCAAAATGAGCACAGATCTGTACAAAAAGAGTGAATAGATATGCTGTACCCTACAATAAAGCAGAGTAGCCCATTACACTCACATAAAGGCCACATCCCTTATTTATCATGCCAAAACTGGGGAAGAGTGAAGCTCCCACTAAAGCCAGTTAAGATATGCCTGCAGAGGCACAGACACACTTGCAGTCTCTGTACAGAAAACCATGAGCGCAGGCACACCTTATTTGTGTGACTTCTTCCTTCAAGACAGGGGTCTGTTTGTGCTCCAAAGTTAGGAGTTTTTACATATTTGAACAAGAATAAAAGTTTTACATGTCTATAGTGCCTTTCACTCAAAGATCTCAAAGGACTTTATACCTATTATATATGTCCCAACCCCTCCCCCTGTGAGGTAGGTATTATCCCTATTATTTACAGATGGGGAAATTCAGGCACAGAGGTTACATTATTTGCCCAAGGTCACACAGTGAGTCAGTGACAAAGTAAGACAGAATCCAGATGTTCCGATTCCTGTTTGCACAATCCAACTACTAACACCACAAGCCTCAATTTCAAAAAAGCCTTAAACAAGTATCAGTGTACATAAGAACAGTCTTGGGAGTCAAGGGCCACTCCTAAAAAGCATAGGAAAGGAGGAAAAACAGGAAGAAAAAAGCGAGGACACAACTGACTGCTGCAACCTAACATAGCTTTAAAGAAAGAGCACCTGCTAATTCCCTTCCCAAAGCTGAGGCAGCTTGACTATGAGCCTGGAATACAGGGGGTGGGAAAAGAAGGCTGATGGAATCAAGGTCTGAAACGAAAAACAAAGCTAGAATAAGCAGCCATAAAGCCCTCACCTTTTTCAAAGCACAGGGTCATAGAAAAATAGGGCTGAGAGGGACCTGAAGAGATCATTGAAGTCCATCCAACCTGCCCTGAAGCCAGGATCAACTACGCCTATTTGTTCCCAACAGTCTAGTTAGTATGTCCTCAAAGACCTCCATCAGTGGAGATGCCATGCCCTTCCTCTGCAATCTGTTCCACCTTGCACCATCACATGAGCAAAAGAGGACAAGCAAGTGTAAGGTAGCTACTTCTGCTCCTTCAGTGGGGGTACCATGATTCCCAGGCCTATCTAATGATCTGGATACATTTCAGAGAAGGTAGTCTCCAGATATTTACTTGTTTCTGTCCTGGATTCCTTGGGAAAACATCAAACACTGGTGTCTGCTGTAGTGTAATATTAGAGTTTTGAAAATACTGATTAATACCAGGATAGATACCAATATACTTAACTGCAAGTGCCAAATCCTACAAGGTCAGTAACAAAGACTTTGATATGGTAATTTTAGCTCATTTCAGATTCAAATTGCAATAAGAGGGCAGGGAAGACTACAGAAAAACCCCACAGCAAAAGTCAGCAGCTCAGAGTTGCCAAGTTTCATCCAACTGCAGACAAAAATCAGGCAGTCGAACAACACATCTTCAGCAGAGGCAGCACCATATGATCTCTGTAGCATCCCTCCATCTCATCTGTCTTCAAAGTGCATTCTCAGTGCAAAAAGTAGGATTGAATTTAGAGGGGCTCACTGTCCCCACTAGATTTCATACTAAGACCAGAATTCTTGCTTGAGTTCATATGCTGCAGCTTTGTGTGTGTTAAGTTCACTTCTGCATAGCGGAATGGTGCTGTCCTGGCTCTGCCCCTCAGCATCTATGTCCAACAGTGTCCGCTCCTCTACAGGAAGACCCACCTGGAAAGGAAGCAGTGCAGGCAGTCCAGGTCTCTCTTCTACAGTGCTGCTGCTACTAGCAAAACAAGAGTCCAGATTGCTTGGAGTATCAGTACTTGAACTGTTGGCAGAAGATTCACCCTTGGCGTTACTGGGTGACACAAACCACCAGGGATCAAGCCGCTGCCGACTGGCTGCAGGACGTGGCCGGGGCAGGAACTCCAATGTCTTGGGTCTTTCCAGTGTGGGGTCCTGCTGTGCATTCCATCGTCTCGGGGTTGGAGGAAAAACAAGGTTGGGGTCTGGCAGGCGAGGGACCTCATTGGGATCTCTACTTGGACTAGGTGTTTTTAATACACCTATCCAAAACAGAGAATTTAAGAGAAGAAGGAAACATGTTAGATGTCACCGCTAAATGGTTCCAACAGATTTTAGTTTATTTTATGTATACTGTGAAAACATTTTCAAAGCAGAAAGCCGCCATTCAGATCTACAAACTCCGTATCTTCAAGATTACACCAATCTGAAGTGATTAACTGGCTTATTTATCCCTACACTGTTCTCAGTACACTGCAAGACACCTGTTTCAATGACCTAGCACAAGCAGCAAGTTTTGTTCATCCTCTCACTTGCTTTCTTCAGTTTTCAGACTGGAGAGTGTTGGATTTGACCTCCTACCGGAAGTGAGGACTCTCCAAATCCTTCAGAGGGCACATTACCCATTAACAGCTTGACTGAACTGGGGAGACACTTGCACAGCAGGATGTGTGACATGTTTACAGCAAGCAGGACCAACTTCCTGGAAGAGCCCTTTAACACTACCTACTGTGGATGCTTCCTGGTTTGTTTTTGTTTAGGGGTGGGGGACAGCGGGGGGTTTTAGGTTTTCTCTTTGGTTGGTTGGGTTGGTTTTGGGTTTTTGGGGTGTTTTGTTTTGTTTTTTATTTTAGAAATACAACATAACTTTTTAATTTTCATGAATACCATTCTAATGAGTGCCCTCAGCTGCATTAACCCACATTTTACTGCAGACTGCCATTCAGCAGACAACCTCACATTTTGTTTTACCATTGGGAAAAGTTTAATTAAATGAGATTTTAATTTATTATTCTAGTCCTTTTTTTCCCCTCTGAATTACTAGGGCAAGAAAACAGGAAAGCATTTAAGTTATCGAGTCACAACCACTCCTAAAGATGGCAACAGTGAGAACCCTACCTACCCAGGAAGATCCCTCTTCCTTGAAAAGGAATAAGAGCAACAGTGGCGCAGCCTCAAACTACTTTAAAGATACAGTTTTCACTGCCTTAAAGATCAAAATTTACTTTGAAATTGTAACAGCAATACAAACAATCGCATAAAGGCAATAGAGATGGAATCCCAAGGAAACACTAAAAACACACAATATCTCTACTTTGGTACCATCTTTGTCTAAGAAACAATACTACGCTCTGCCTCACAGCACAGTGGAGCAGAGAGAATTCCTTAGTGCAGACATGCTGGAACAGAGACCATTACTGCATTGTTCTGTTCATTATTTGTGTGAAGACAGCATCCATAAGCTCTTCTTGGGGCTGGCCATCACAATGGATGTTCTATAAGCAACATGTTTACTTCCTAACAATTATACTGTTTGAGTCTTTACTCTGAAGAGGAAAAAAAGATGGCTGAAAACCTACCTGCTCCCAGTGCTCCAGTTAAACAGCTACTGGAAGGACATCCACTGGTTGGGCACCCATTGACAACTAGTCCACTCCCTTTGATGGCCCCATCAGAAGGTGTGCGCCTGTGCCCGCTTTGCTGGGTGTGCGAAGAGACTGTCACATGTGTGGGAGTCAGGGACTGGTTGGGGTCTTGTTTGAACCTCTCAATCTGGACATTGACTAGTGGGTTGGTAATGGCTGGCAAGGGAGCCCTGACTGTCACTGGGCTGACAGGCATTTCGTACACCACAATCTCATCACTGTCTGAGCGCAGCAGGGACCGTGTGGAATTACATTCGGAAATGGAAGACAGGGAAAGAAGGGTGAGGGATGTGGATGGTTCGCCTAGCAGCAACATGGGATCCTCTTTCTTGAAGATCTTTCGGGAAGGTGGGCTAGTGCTCCTGCGTGGGCGTCCAGCTCGCTGGAAAATGCTGTCACGCTTCTTCTTCTCTTCCTTGGGTGCCTCTGGCTCCTCCTCGATCAGCAGCTGACACTTCCCTGCTTCTAACAGATCAAAACCCAGGCCTGCAGCAGCCAGCACTGCTCCACAGCCAAGCAACGCAACCTCACATCGCTTGTGGTGGGAGCCACTACGTTTGAGGCTGTTGGTGGGTGTCAGCTGCGGGGTACTCGTAGCAGAGTTCACAGGGGTGGACTCCTCATTGGCATCGCTAGAAGGGCCATCCCAGTCTTCATTCTTCTGAAATGGGATGCAGAGGTATGACTGATTGTGCCCAGGTGAAGGGTGCACTTTGCCCTCCCCATTAAGACATTCGCTGTCTTCATCATCTGGAAAGCAAATGAAAACACACTTTGCATGGATGTAACATTTCCACTGGCAAATCTCACTGTCTTACAAATATACATGAAAATAAGCTTTTCCTCAGAAGATGCAACTGTCCTCATCGCAAGCATCATTCACCAACTGCCAAATACTCACAGGCTATTGTCTCCAAAGCAGATAGGCTGAGGCAAGTAACTGGAAACACTATCAAAGCGGAAGAAATTAGTGACACTTTAATCTATTTGGGATCAACTGCAGAACAGCATTTCAGAAGCAATCTACACCCCTGTTACTTCCAGAGCAAATTTATGTCTTTGGGAGTAAGGAGCAAAAGGTAGGAAAATTAGAAGGATCTCTCCTTGCAAGCGAAGGTGTAACCATGCAGCACATCTAAATATCATTAACAGGAAGGGAGCTGAGAGGTAGCATGGAGTTAGAAGGGAATGAAGAGAAGCTTGTTAACTTAACAGATAAGAAGCACAAGCAGAGAGGTGAACAAAAGAAAATCCAGAAGGAGAAAGTAGTTACTTCGCAAAGAATAAAAGAAAAGTGGGTACCACCAAAATGAAAATATTGCTGTAAGGTACCGGGTGATGGTCAAGAAAGGAGACGTTCACTCAAATGTGAAGGGAAGTGGGGATGAGAATATAAAGTCCAGGGAATTCCTTTACCCATCTCTGCTAAGCTGGTGAATCCTGGAAAAGCAGGCGCAGTTCTCTGGATCTTCCCGAGGTTCGGTGCACTGGATGACCACTGTTTGTATCCTTCTACCAGAGCTTTCAGACTGAAATAGTACAAAGATGGGAGAAAATGTACCATGCTCACAACCAATTTACATTCCTCTCTTTTATATTCTCTGCTGCTCTACTGAGGGTATGCATGTATCCATCTTAAGAACATAGATTTGAAGTACTCCCATTGCAAGACATTTTGCATCTTTACAGCACCTTAAAATACTAAAAAAAGTCAAAAAGTCCCTCTCATTTGTTACACCATGGCAGTAAAAAGATATCTGCTGATAAGATAACCAAAAGCTACAAATGAAGAATAGAAAGCACCACGACAAAAATCAGATGAAACATTCTCTTTTTAAACCAAGGCAAACCTACCATGGCAGGTAAAAAAAAGTGCTCAGCAGGAGGAGGGGAAAAATATCTCCAAAAACATTTCCATGTGAAATACAAACGAACAATGAAAGTCAAAGAGTGCTCACTGGGACAATAATATGCTAAAGTCATTGTAACAGCAAAGTCAGGCCTCTGTATTATAAACCCCGATATTTCTCCTCTAAAGAAAACACTTCATTGAAGTACAGACAGTTAAAAGCGTATGTTCTAGATTATGGACAGATAGGTAACTAAAACCATAAATCATGCCATTGTTTCTTTTACTTACAGACAAAGAACTCCAAAACCCACAAAAACAAACAAGTCCCAGACAAACCTCAAACTAAATTCCTACTTTGACATCACCCGTGTTTAAAGGTATGTCACCAGGCACCTGAACTTAGTAGTCCCTATTCATAGGTATTCATAACCATCATGCTCTTTGTTCCCCACAGTACTTTCATGACATCAGAAACAACTTTACTGAGTGTTGATATGTCAGAAGGTTTTGCTGCTCACTAAAGTTTTATTGTTGAGTTATCAATATAGTCCAAACTGGGAGATTTCTGGTGCCCTTCTCCAAACTCCAACAAGAAACACATGGTAGTGTTGGTGAAAAGCTAACAGACACTAGGGATAGACAGAAATTGAATGAAAGGACTAAAGAGATCTGTGGATAGTCTGAATGATGTCAGCTAAGCGCACAAGAGCATCAACTTGTTATTGAAAGAACAGAAAACTTAGGAGATGAGACCTCTTCCAGCTCCATTACTAACTTTCGTGTTCTTTGGTGAAACACGCAATTCATTCCAATCCTTCCCTCACAAAGAAGGAAGGATATGACCATATAGAAGATGTCTCTCATGATTCTTATTTTCCACCAGAATCACTCTGCATTTTTAAAACAGCTTCCATTGCAGGATCTCAAAGTTTTATTATATCAAGGGTTTTTTTTTGTCTTGGTATGTATTTTTTGTCTACTCTCTACCTAACTGGGATGCCCTACTTGTCACCAAACTATACTGCTATAGCAAGGTCACAAGGTCTAGACTTGATTCAGCACATGTTCAGTTGGTTGACAACTGTGCTATAGGCACTACACTAAAAGTACCCTGTGCAGCTCTCAGCTGTCTTCAAAGTCCATCATTTCGCCCTCATTAACCATTCTGGCATGTGCAATACACTGCTACAAACTTGAATCCAGACAGCATAGCACTCAATCCTACTTGTCAAGACAGACAACCAGATGGTTTTACAACTCAGATGCAATTCAGTGTGTGGGTCTGTTCTGATTTACTCCCTCCATACCGTACTCAGCTATGTAACACAAGCCACCAAATAATGTATGTTGTATCTAAATTATCCGTGTGTACAACATGCATAGTTAGGATAAATACTACAAATAAAGCAGCATATTAAGTGAAAGCTGGTGAGCAAAACCAAACCATGTTAGGAGTGTGATAACCTCCAAAAGTAAATGTCAAAGGTCTTACAATATGGGTAGACAGCTATTGAGGAAAGGGAGATTTCCAAAGAGCTGGGAAAACATATACTGTGTTCTCTATATGCAGAGATAGAAAAGCTGTAAGTGATAGGCAGCAGTAATCTTCAGTTTAGCCTTCACTTTACAGTTATAGCTATGTAAAGGGTCTTGGGAATTGTCCTTTATTGAACAGCAGGACCCACCAACTTAGTTTTGCTTCCTTACAACATCTCAGAGTAACCTTCCCTTGCAAAAAAACAGACTGAAGATTTGCTGTTACTGAAAAAGCACAGCTCAATCTGAACAGAAAGATAAGTAGCTACCAGAATAATTTCAAGGCCTGCTACATTTGCCTCAGGGTTATAAAATATTCACCCTTCCCTTTTATTTTTTGCTCCTTCTCTCCCCCAAAATACCAGCAGACCTTGAAGACCTGTGCAGAGGATAGCTGCACAACCTCTTAATTAGACAGTAGTGTTCATTTGAAAACAATTCAAAACATGCTGACTTAAGAGTACATTCCTGTTACTGCTCTGAGGAAAGCGCAACTAGAATGATTTGAAAGCACTAGCAGCAAAACTATCTATTTCAGTCACCAGCATGACAATTCAGGACCCTAAAGACTTCTTACCCGTAATCTATTTAGATTAAATAACAGGAAGGCTGTTACGCTGTTGTATTATGGTTGAGTTACTTCTTTGTTGCCTTTTCCTATTGAGAATTCAAAAGCACCTCTCTTTAAAAGTGATAAGGTGACAAGGCTCAGCAAATTGCAAAAAACTTTCCTACAACTGTAAGATGGCATCTCTGGTGTCTTAATACCATTCTGTAACACTATGTCGAGGCATTAACACAATACTGTCATGAATAAAAAGTGTCTGTTCCCAGGCTCACCCCTATTCACCTTGCAGGATTTTACAAGGTAACTGCTAAAGGACTGTGACTATCCCTCGTCCAGTGTCACCTTCCATAAAACCAGTAATACTATCACCCATACCGTAGTAACACAGACGAATCAATTATTCTGAAACTAATCAATGCCAAGCTTGAAGACAATTAAGACTTCACCATATATCCTTCAGAATACACCATACGATCACGACCGAACTGTCACACTAGTCCAACATAAAGCTTCATCCAGTCTCTGCAATTCAGCTCAGCAACCTTCTGCTGCTGTGCATATTCCTCATGCTCGAAGATAAATGCAGAAGGGTGAATAATCACTGTATAATCTTTTCATGACTGCCTTTACTTGGTGTTATAGGTCAGTTTACTCATGCTAGAGAATTTCACTGCATTTCCCACTGTAATTCTTGCATAAATTTGGAATTACCTCCTGTGGAGAACACATGGAAAGTGATAAATAAGATGAAGATTCAAGTTCCCTTGATCACAGAGTCGTGTAAGCAGCTGGAATAGCAGTACTGCTGCTACCAGAACAGTGTCATGGAGAAGACTTAAATTGGACTTTTCCATCCTAAATTTAGGTCTTCACTTTACCTTAATTTTTATCCCCCTGCCTCTAAAATTAGAATTAAAAACTACTAAAAATAGCAAGCACTCTACCTTTTGAGTCATTAACATTTACTGCAACTCTGCTCCCTTTAAATTGAAGTCTGCAGTCTGGCATGATCTCAGCAAGCAGCAGTACTTCACTGTATGTTAACCATACTGCCTTCTCAGCAACCCTATCACATTTCAGATACTCCGCAAAACGCCATAGCTGTATAGAGTCTCCCTGGAAAGGTGATGAATACTACAGAACATCTCAGTTGTAGAGAGAACGGGATAGTTTTAAGAGCAACATGGTTAGCAAGCAACTCCTTTCCCGTTGTATGTGCCCAAAAGCAATTTAATGCTTCAGACTGTGCAGCAATAAACAGAAAACTGAACAGCTTTATTCCCAGAATTCTAAGAATACGATTTCAAGGTAGAAGTGTTCTTCTACCAGCTTCAGTGATCTCCTGCCCTTTTATAAAACTAATGACTGTAAAGTGGGACATCTACTTTAATTCCATAGAATCCTATACTTCATCTATAGCATAGATAAAGTGTAGGTGTCAAAGAAGCTTTCTCCACATTGCCCTGTTAACACGTCAAGGGTACCTTTGAGGGAGAACATATTTTAATGTCATTAAAACATCTAGGTCCAGGCCCTCTTGCAGAGGACTGCAATATTGATGCATTATGTAAACATCTGTTTTCCCAGAATTTCACACCTGAGCACATTATATTAAAGATCAATTATAACCAGTTATTTTATTTTGCCTGCTAAAAAATATGGCAATAGCCAAACTATCAATTTAGCAGGGGAAAAAGCTTCAGACTCCACTAAAAATCACAAGGCATTCAGACCTCTTAGAAGATCAAAATATTCTTATGTTTAAAGCAGTGTTTTGGCAACGATCCATTGGAGTCCTGGTATAAATAATTCACACATACACACACAAAAAATAGAAGCCACAGAACAAGAGTCTACAGAAACAGAGGTACAACCTGTATCTCTGCAAAAATCACTTTCAGGCTGTATTCACTCAGGGCACGTGTCCTTTTCCAAAGCCTACAGAGAAGGTATTTGCCTGGCTCTACCAGATATTTTTTAAATAACAGCATTTCAGACAGGAAAAAAACATAGCTGAGGATTGTAAAAAAGAATAGTTTCAGTTATGATATGAAACTACAGAAAGTTGATCCTGAAAATAAAGAAAAGCTACTAGAGAAACAATTTTGCACAGCTAAGAAGTTATACTGCCTACAAATACACATAACAGGGTAAAGCAGACAGTGAAAGCATCAGTCAGTGCTGGCCCTCTAGCAAGGGACTGAATGCAATGCAGTTTTGTCATCTGTTCTGAATCTCTGAGATGTCTGGTACAGCAAGTAAGTTTGGAAGCAGAAAAGTGTTTGCAAGAGGACAGGGAAATCTCCCATGAGCCAGCTAATAAACAGTTTTAGAATCTGGAAAACAGTCTGGTTCCAGGCCCTCTCTTACCCATCTTCTCCTGCACCTAGCTCCTTGTGACAAAGCGAGCTCGGTCCCCAAGTACGTCCCTTTTTCTTCTGGCCTCTCTTCTCTTCTTCCTCTCCTTCCTCCTTTGGAAGGACTGAGCTTCTTCCCCACGTTTTACTGCTTTCAGCGGGAGTCACTTCACAAGTGGGAGGAACAGTGGAAAATGGGAAAGAAAAACAGATACACAAATTAAAGAATTGGTTCCACAACAACATAAAGAATAAAATATAGGCTGGAACAGGAATAGTAATGGAAACATCCATTTAGGTTTATTTCCCATAATTCTAGCCATTTATCAACACAGATCTAACAACCAGATCCCTTCAAAATTAGTATAGACAGACTTTACAGCTTTATTCCATCACTGGTTTTTCTTTTAGAACTGCCAATTTGGTATCAGACACACAAGTGTCATGACATCCAATACAAACACTACACATTTATTAACATCCCTTTCATATTTCTAATACATACTTGTCTTCTAATTCTGTTTTATTATGTGAACACTATTTTCATGACAAGCACTCTTGTTTTCATTTCCTTCCAACAGTAACTTAATCCACTTCAATAATGTTCCATAGATGTATTCTGCAAATTAGCATTTTTAAAAATTAACATGTACACCTAAGGAATGTATTTTCTATACAATCAAACAGCAATATTTCAAGAACATGGGTAAGGTCTGGACTCCAAAGAAGGTGATACTGCCCCCCATCACCAACACGCTCTATTTTTCTCTTTAAATGCACACATGCAGGGCACAAGGCAAAACTTTTTTTTTTTTCTTTTTTAACAGTCCTGTCCTAGATATGGAATCTTGGCATCTTACCACGCAGACAGACTGCACATTTCCCAAATTCAATACTACATTGAGCTCCTTACACTGTATGGCCCTGAGTCTGGGAATAATGGTAGGACTTGCAGGTGGGCTGGAGCAGCTACTGATCAAACTTTTCCTTTTATCCATCGTTGGAGAAGCCTGCACAGTGAATTTATGCTGGAAATCTGTTTACCAAAAGAAAAAGAAAAAAATGAAAACAAAAGCAGAAAGAGAGAGTTAAAATTCTTTTCTTTAATATAAGAAAAAAGAAATAATAATTTATGGTAACTTTCAAAGAGTGCAATTTACAGGACCTATGTAGAAATGAAGTTATACAGCTAATTGCTATCCCCTCATTGTACACACAGTTACTTCAGAACAAAGATGTACGCTCACACTCATGAAGATGTATCTTCTTACTGTATGTGTGAGATACATGCACATACACACATAGATCCTCATGTGTTGACTGACGTTTACACCAAAGTATATCCCAGTATAAATTCCTTTCACCTTATCTCTCAGTTTCTTAAGCTAAGCAAAACCACCAGCAATAGGTGTTTATAGACCTAAAGAAAGACATAGTTCACACGCACATTTTATCATCACTGCTCTTCTGAACAGCCAATGTCTCTCAGAAAACATGGACTATAACATAAGTCATCATCCTTGAGGTAATGATGAGCCTTAGGTGATTTATAAAACCCACGGTTTTGTTCTTATACAAATTTGAATCTCTATACAGAATCCACAGCAAAAATGCTGAGGATTCAGTATGTCTGAGAATCACCATCTTCACTCTTAAGAGTAATTTCCATGACACCTCAACAATATTTAACATTTCTTCCAGAAGGGTGGTATTAGACATCACTTGTGTGTTAATCAGAATTCGCATATGAATTAGCAGTGTAGGGCTGTACTCTTGCAGCTAACAATGTATTTTTGATAATTTTTAGATTCCTGCACCAAGAAATCCAGTATGTTACGGTTTCTGCAGCAGCATTATGTAAAATATTCCCAGAGCAAGAACCTCCATCATTTTTTATGTACATCTTTTATTAAACTGATCATTTTAAGTATTAACATTTTAAACTGCAACACTAAATTTTTCTGAACCATATACTGCCATAGACTAAACAAACATGCCTGGAGAAGAGGAGGCTGAGGGGAGACCTTATCACCCTCTACAACCACCTGAAAAGAGGTTGTAGAGAGGTGGGGACTGACCTCTTCTCCCTGGTAACAAGTGATACGAGAAGAGGAAACGGGTTCAAGTTATGCCAGACGAGGTTTAAATTGGATATTAGGAAAAAAATTTTCACTGAAAGGACTATTAAACATTGGAATAGGCTGCTTGGGGAGGTGGTGGATTCGCCATCCCTGGAGGTGTTTAAAAAAGGGGTAGATGTGGTACTTGGGGATATGGTTTAGAAGTGGTTTTGTCAGGTTAGGTTAATGGTTGGACTTGATGATCTTAAAGGTCCCTTCCAACCTCAACAATTCTATGATTCTATGTACCATCTCAAATTTATTTCTGTCCTTCATACTTGGAACTTTAGGGAATGCCAGCCACAAGAACATGAAACTCAGTTTCTTGATCCCAAAGAGGCATGTTTTTCCCTAAGTACATCCAATACTTTCTGATATCTAAGTATAAGCAGAAAGAAGCTACCAAAGCTAGAGGTTCACCTGTTCCATTTCAACCTGACACAGTCTAACATGTCACCAACCTGAAGGCAGGCTGATATGATTGCCATCTTTTAACTTGAGCCGGCTCCTCTTGAACTTCCCCATGCGTTTCTTCACCCGAGGCTTTTCCTGACACAGCTGGTGGATGATGATGTTGAGCTCCCTTTCCAGGATGTCAATCTCGCGTTCTGCCAGCTCCTGTTCCCGCCTTCGTAGCAACTCCTCATGGTTCTTCTGTTCAACAGCAGCACGAGTCAGCTCTTCTTCCCATGTGCGCAGCTCCTCCAGGGAGATAAGAAAGGAGAAATGAAAAGCTACCTTGTGACCTGTGGGTTAAGACTAACATTACCTATTCTGAAGGCACAGCAGCAATGACTTGTGTTCACAGCACTGCTAGCACCACTGTTTAAAGGTTCAGCTGAAGGCCAAAAGCATAAAACAATCCTCAAGAACGTCTATGCTTGTCATTCAAGACCCTTCATATCAGTATTAAAATTCAGACATCGGCACTTGTGATTCCACACCTGGAATCCTGTGTCCAGTTCTGGGCTCTCCAGTACAGGAAAGACATGGACATACAGGATAGAGCCCAACGAAGGGCCATGAAGATGATTAAGAGACTGGAGCACCTCTCCTATGAGGAAGGGCTGAGAGAGATGGAACTGTTTATCCTAGCAAGAGAAGGCTTCAGTGGGGGAAGGGGGATCTTATCGGTGTACACGAAAACCTGAAGGAAGGGTGCAAAGAAGATAGAGCCAGGCTCTTTTCAGCAGCACTGATTGACAGGACAAGAGGTAATGGGCCCACACTGAAACACAGGAGATTCTCTCTGAACCCTTTTTTTACTTTGAGCGTTACTGAGCACTGGCACAGGTTGCCCAAAGAGGGTGTGGAGTCTCCATTCTTGAAGATGTTCAGAAGCCATCTGGACACAGTCCAGGGCAACTGGCTCTAGGTGGTCCTGCTTGAGTAGGGGAGTTGGTCCACATAACCTCCAGAGGTCCCTCCGACTTCAACCATTCTGTGATTCTGTGAAAAGGCACTGAATCCTAAATTCAGTGTCATAAGAAAATATGCTGGATATCTGACATGGACATGTTTACAAGAGCCATCGGAGAGTATCATGCATATGGAAACCAGTTTTGGAAGATTTACTCATAACACCGAAAATAATTAATCCTTGCTTTCCTGTTCAGTAACTACCTTTAACTTCATTATTGAGTTAAACTGTTTAAAAATACCCTTGCCATCTCATGCATCATAAACCAGCAAACCACAGAGCTCTACCATAAAAATGAACGAAGAAAACATCACTGGCAGGTCATTCCCATCATTTTCCACCAGGCATGGCTGCTCCTTAGGCATAAAGACACATGATACAAACTTTTCAGTCTTTCCCTTGTTGACAAAATTAATCAACTGAAATTGTCCTTGAGATCTCAAAATGTCTTCTCGCTGCACTCCTCTCCTCTAACCACAAGGACAAAAGAATTCAGCACTCAGAATAATTATCTCCAGCTGCTTAATTCCACTGCAGAAGGTAAAAACTGAAGAATTCAAGTTAAACCTCAGATAGATTTTAGTTTAGATTATTTTTTTTTTTAATAATGTCATTGTTACCTGTTCCATCACCATGAAGGTTTGGTACATTTTACTCATGGGATGAATAGGATATAAAATTCTTTTCCCCATTGCTACAGAGGAATACAGTACTCAAAACCCAAGGGCGGTCTAGCTACTATTGTTTGGTCTTCTGTTTGTCTGTTCAAGTTTCTGGTTTTCAAAAACTGTTCCAACACAGTTAAGCCACAGGACAACAGCAGCAGGGAAATGCACATTAGCTATTTATTTTTCCCAAAACCTACTATAATATATGAATAGAAATGCTCCAAGTACTGTTGTAGGACTACTCTCCCCTGCCCCAAGTTCTCCTTTTCTTTCTCACTGCCTCCTAAACCCAACTTCCGAGTCCAAATTACGTTGCCTGCTTATTACAAATTTATTTTTAGGCAAGCAACTTAGAAAAGTGTTATTACTTTAGTGACTTCACTGCAGTACTTCATACCAACAACTGTAACGACAGTCTCTGTAAGGACATTAACGTAGATGCAGCAAGCTGTGCTTTCTGCAAGTATGCTTGAAGAAAACTTCGTTTTTTTCACTTCTACTCTTTGAGGCTGATGGTCACAATTCCTTTTATTCCTGCTAGCATTTTTGCTTCCTTGTATTTACTCAGATGTACTCCAATTATGACAGTTATTGGACCATTCCCCTGGTAGCGCTCATGTTTATTATAGTCTACCCAATTTGGCTGTGCTCAAAACCTGGAAAACACAAACCTGACAGAACCAAAGCTGCAATGCCTGCTAGAGTATATATGCTGAAACTACCCCTCCTACTTTTACTGTTAACAGCTATTGTCGGGCTTCTCAATTAACTATTTCAATGTTAGCATCTATCAGATGCATTAAACAATGAAGACAACTCACCATAGCAGTTTGTACAGTGTATAATGGAAGCTCACTAAAGTATTAGAAAGAATAGCAGCTCAGGATGAAGATATTGATTTTACTCATGATTCTGCCCTTGTGGGTATCATAACCTACCATTGATTTGGGGACTTATTACAAGCTCCATTAAAGAACATACAAAATTAACTCTGGGATGCACTAAACAATTATCCCTGTTTGAATTATGAAATGGGAGAGTTATAATCCAGAGAGCGCAAGCATGGAGTGTTTTTCTCTCCTTACCTTTTCTTTGGCTCTGAGCTGATCAAACATCTCCTGGATCTCTTGTTTCCAGTCTTCCTGCAGGGAGTGGAAGGAATCTTTGGGCATTTCAAAGAAACCAGACTCTTCTATGGCGGTGAGATGGTCTAGGATACTGGCAAAGGAAGGTCGTGAGTGTGGGTCAGGGTTCCAACAATCTAGAGTAGGACAAAGACAAGCAATTACTAAGCATCTCTTAGTATGGAGGTTTGAGAGGTTGAGTAGTACTTTACTGATCCCCAGTGGCTAAGAGTGGCATGCACACCATCTGTGTTATCCCATCTTTCCCATTTCCCACTTGTATTGACTACTGTCTGATCGTAAGTCAGGTATGGAATTCATGCTTTCACGCTTATACAATATCCAACATCGCTTAAGATCTTGAACTACCTGGTCTCTCAGTTCTACCACAATAATGTGCAAAGTAAAATAGAGGTTTACTAATTTTACAGAAAGTTACATTATCAAGCAAATATTAAAAAACATAAATAATTTCCTTAAATATTTTACTTTAAGTTGTATGTGTGCACAGAGTGGAGATACTATACAAGACTCTTGCGAACAGTTCTTTTGTCACACTTACACTGCAGAGTTCACAGCCCTACTGCAGAAGGATGTCTATCAGAGTTCTTTCTAATGCCAAACTCTAATACTAAGCTGAGTCATTATGAATCTCTTCCACAGAACTGAAAAATCTTTCCTGCAAAGCAGACTGGGCATAATTTGACTGAAAATAGGAGATTCAAATAAATAATGACATTGAATACAGCATTTGGAATTTTCTTATTTTTAAGGGTTCTTGAGAGACAATTGTTTGATCAGGCTTTTTTCTTTTGCTTTTAACAGAAACCACAGATAAACAAGCTTTTTCATTTACAATCTAATGCAATGACTTACCCAATTACAGAGCTCTAAAACCACAGAATTTAAGGTACCCATCTTACCACATGAGGCAACTCAACTAGCAATAGTACAAAAAGGTACTCCTTTTAGTGATGGGAACTGAACATTGAGAACAGAAACGGAAATTGAAAACGGTATGAAGTAACATCTCAAGCTACAAAATCATTACGAACATGTTTTTAAAAAGCCATTAAGTTGAAATGTTCGACTTAACAACACTTTTGAGTAGAAAAGTCTTATTCAGTCCTTCCTCTTACTTCACCCTTATTTCTAGTCCTGCAGAAAACATCGCTTTCTCATTCTATATTGTCCTGCACTGGCACTTACACAGGTTCTTCTTCAACAAGTATCCTTATTCTCTTTAGTACCACTGGACTCTTACATGCCAAAATTTGAGAAGAACCAAACAGGAAAACTTAGCATTCAAGTATACTTTTAGGAAATACAGCTTTTGTGCATGAATGGAAGAAACTAACACATGGGTCTCTCTCAATATGCTCAGACGATCATTCCTCTAAATGGTCACGGGATTTAAGATACATTACTGCAGAACAAGGCAAGAGTTACAAAAATATTCTAAAGTTTTCTAGACCTTACAGTTGGAAAAAAGGAAGTATTCTTAAATAAATTTTGGTGATGTCCTAAAAGACATTCATTCATCAGTTTTGTGGATTTAAATATACCAAGGAACAGCTGTAATTAAAAATAAATAACACTTCAGAAAATCTGTGTAACTGCTGAGGCTTGGTTTTACAGGTCTTTTCTTTCATTTTAGCATTACTGATATTTTGCATTTGGGAGCTTTGGTTTCAAAACTGCTGGTATCAAGATGCTGGTATTTAAGCATCCGATCAGGTTCCAGGAGGCATAAGCTGGAACACATTTGTGTTTATGGATTTCAAATTGCTTCTCTTCTCAAAATAGAGAACTGAGGACTTTAAAGAGCGCTCTGAAGGTCCCCTGCTGCTGACCAATTAGTAGCAATGGGCGATACAGCAGTACTGTCAGTGCCATAATCCCTGCCTCTTTACCCCAGGTTTTGAGCATGGCAAAGCAAACATGACCCAAAGTAAAACAAAGTGCTGCAGCCAGCCAAATGCATGAGTGAATGAACAGGATAACCATGCAGGTGGCCCGTGGCTTTTATTTTCCCAGGCTGAGATCTGCTATTATTTGCACTAATGAGGACAGTTGTAACATACAAGTCTTTTCTGTGAAGAGGGAAAGTTCAGCTTTGTTGTCTGGGTGAAGACCACCAGGGCAGTAATTCAAACGTAAAAGCAGCATTAGGGGAACAAGAGTTCACCCGAGACGCCTGTTTGAAAAACAGTTTTGGTGAAGGGGCAGAAAGTAATTGTTTTCTTGTTCTCTTCTTCCCCCTGTACATGGAGAAGCCAAGCGTTCCAAAGCCATGTGGGTGCTCACCCCTGTGCTGCTGGGTTCAAGCCCAGGCCATGTGCCTCTACCTGACTTTCCCAATAGAGGGCATTATTTTTAACCCCAGCAGCAGATACCTCACGTCTATTTAAGAAATCCAGGGTCCTTGTTTTAGGAAACCGTGTCAAAATAAACTGCTCTGGCACAACACTGAGCTGGTAGTTCCATTACATCTTTCAGATGCAGTTTCTTGCTTTACATTGCTTCCAAACTAACATACCTGCAACTCTGCTGCTGTTTACTATCCAGTAGGATATTTCTTTTTTTAGCACAATAGTACATGAAATTTTCTGCTTTAACTTAAGTGAAGCCTGTAGCTTACAGAAAAGACCAGAGAAATGCAAAAGTATTCTAAAAACAGAAATCCATCAGAAACATTTTCTTGCATGAATCAAATTCCTTTCTTGGGGCTAAAAACACCACCAAAGGCCACAAAATGTCAGTTCTATGTTCAGGCTCATTTGTTTCTCACTAAGGCTATAAAACATGCTTGATTTCTTTTTACCTGTTTTTCTTTCTGGTACAAAAATGTTTATTACATATAAACACCTGGAAATCCTTGGGAATAAAACTCTAAAGCTACTACTGTAAGAGAGGGAGAGAAGGAAGGAGGGATGGAGGGAGGAACAACTGAAGCTTAGGAGATATGTCAGTAGTTGCAACAGCCATCAGAGCAGGTCACATAAGTGCACCCCAAAAATTACCTCATGGAATCCTTTTTAATAACTACCACAGCTCTGATGACAAACTCCTATATTTCTTTCCTCGGTATGTAGCCCGCCCTTGGGCATGAACTATCTCCACACACAAAGCAAAAAAATCACACCATTCTGACTGAAAATTTGGGTTGTTTTCAAATGTCAAAGCCATATTTAAACCCTCTCCCTGAAATGTCAGTAGGATAACATTTCATTCCAAATCAATCTGACACCGCCTAGCAAGATCTTCAAGCTATGCATTTCAAAGTAAGTTGAAGACTTCAAACTAGACCAAAATACGTGAAGTTTGGGCGTTGGTGAGTATTCACTACTACAAAACTACAAGCTACATGACAACAGCAACAGCCCCCGTTTTCCTATAAAGCCAACTGATAAAAAATAGCAGGGAAATTTCTTTCACATCTTACTCTTGTAATAGAGTAACTGTCAAAGGATGCTAACAGCCAAGTCTACCTCCCATAATAACTTGCACCACTGAATAAAGCCATTTGAGAGATCTGTGCTCTTGGGTATCAAAAACAACACAAGGAGGCAATGCTGAACAGCACTCTAAAACCAGCACAAACCATACTCACATCACAGCTGGCTTACCTTCCATGAGTTTGGCAAAAGGCTCTGGACATGTGGAAGGGATTGGAAGGGCAAGTTTATTCATGGCAACACCGTATGCTACTGCAAGACCATCAATTCCTCGGAATGGTACTTCTCCTGTTAGCAGTTCCCAAAGCAGCACGCCGTAACTACCAGGAAGAGAAAAGAGAACACGTCTTTGACTTTACCACATTCTTCGTTAAGCAACAAGAAAGTACCTGAACCTATCAGGGTGAGTCTGGTACCCTGAAGAAATTCCAGTTTTCTGGACAATCTCATCATGACTGCCAAGGTGGTAAAGTGTCTTATTTTACCTGCTTTTTTTAAATAATATTGAAATAAGATCCCATTTTCACCTTTTAGGCAAAAATCATTTTCTCTCTAGAAACTGGGAACAATCTGAAAAAAATAAAACTTCTAATTTAGCAAATTTCAAACCAGAACCCAGTGAAACTCTCAGAAATGTGAAGGAGAGTTGTTTAGTGGGTTGTGGTTTTTAAAAATAAGTGAAAAATACTCCTTCAGAATTAAGTTGTTCTTAAGATGTTCTATGAAATGTTAACTATGAAATTATGCAAACAGTTCCAGGACCGCTCTCCCCCCAGGTATATGACAAACAACATATCCTCAGAATATTCCCTCTGCTTCTAGGAAACCTGAGCCAGAGGCTTCTTCATACTTAGTGACCTGACAGGTTTTTTTCTTTCACTGATCTGTCTTATTCTCTTCTGAGCCCATTTACTGTCCACTGAGTTCTGTGGTAATGAGTTCCACAAATTCAGTGACGCATTGCCAAAATATACTTCCATGTGTATGTTTTGAGCTTGTCACTTGGTAATTTCATTTGCCTCCCTGTAGTTCTTTCAATACAGGGAAGAATGACCGTATGTTCCCTATCAGCTCCTTCCACGCGATCCATGATTTCACAGGCTCCCACTACATCCTGCCTAAGTCATCTTCTTTCCAGCCCCCCAAATCCTAATCGAGCTAAATCCTAATGTAGTTACTCTCCTGAACAGAAGCCATTTCATTTCTTTCACTGACCTTGACATCTTCTATACAATCTCATTCCATTTAAACCTTTTATGTTGGAATCGCCAAAAATCACATAAAGTTTTAAAGACACGGGAGAGGCAAAGTATTTCCTGTTTTGCCACTTGCCTTTCTGACTCCTTACAAAACGGGCTAGGTTACCTGCAGTAACTCCAGTATCTTTACTGAATCATAACAGGAAAATTTAGAGCCCATCACTGTACACGTGAAATTTTCCCATGGGTACTACTTTGTATTTATTACCATTTCAACTATTTTATCATTCAATATAGTAAAACTTTTCCTCATCTCTCTGCAGTAGATTAATTTTTCTTATCCTGAATAACTTGGTATCATTAACAAATGTTACCTAACCACTTATTGCTTTTTCAAATCACTTATGATTATGTTGAATGCAGAATTCCCCACCAAGAAAATTGATTTATTCTTTTAACAATTAAGAATTGACCAAAGGATGGGAAATAGATTGGTCCTCTTTTCTCACACCAATTTACTTTCTTTAAAAGCTTTTGACGAAAGATTTTGTTGAAAGTTTTTATAAAGCCAAATATGGTATAAGCAATCTTATTACTTGTCCACATACTCCTTCAAGAATTTTCATTTTTTCACAAGATACGATTTCCTTCTACAAAATCTGACTCTTCCCCAGGTATGCTTATATGTCCACCAGCTCCCCACTCTTTAGTGTTGTTTCTACCATTTAGTAGAACTGAAAATCAGACTTGCTGATCCTCAGGAAGCTCTTAAGACCTGTCTTCATGTTTGCTGTCTTCCATTTCTCTGGTATTAAGGCAGCTTTAAGCAACAGATTACACAGCACAGCTATTAACTCAGCTGGCTCTCTCATGTTCCTGTAGAAATCTTGGGTGTTACTGTAAATCCCAGCAATTTTGTTACCATTCAGTCAGTTTTAACACCTCTGTGGACAGTACTCCAGTATGAGATGTCCTCCAGCTCGGCTCCCTTAAAGAGAATTTTCATCTTAAAAATCCTCTCTTTGCTCCATTTTAGCAGACGCAAGTCACTAAGTTTTTCTGCTACAGTCTTATCTTCTTTGCATCTTACATCTTGGTCACTCTGGGCTGTATGTTCTCTCGCAGGGTTCTCACCTGTGCTGCATTTGAAAGCAATTTATTTGTTTTTATGCTTTTTGCAAGGCTCTCCTCAAAACCCTTTTAATCCTCTTAAGTGCTGGCAAATTGAACGTAAAACACTCAAGTCCATGCCTAATTTTCCTCATTTGGCTACATGTTCAACTTTTTGAAGGATGTCTTCCAGTAGTCTCTACTCCATTGTCGTCTTCATTCATTTAAAGTCTTTCCTATGCATTCACTCTGAGCTTTAACACAGCATCCTTAAAAGAGATCCATGCTGTGCATTCCCCTTTTATTGTTTTTACACAAAAGTCCTCAATGTTATCATTAATCTCGGGAAGATTAATGACTACTGTAACAGACTAATTTTTCTTAATTGCTGTTCCAAAGATATTGAATCTAAGTACACATGTATTTTGACTATGGTCATATTGTACAATTTTAAAGGCTTCCTAAGCACACTTGAAGACCAAATGAAAAACAGCTTCTCCCCCTAAAAGCTCCCTGCTTCTGAAGCTAAAAGATTAATCTCTTCTTGTTTCAAAGCAAGAATTTCCCTATCCATTTGGGAGCAATCAAAATTTTCATTATCACAACCTGTACTCTTGCAATCTTCCCCCAACCCCACCAAGTCTTTAACATTCATTGTAACTGATGCCACCTTACTGGACAGTCTTAATCCTACTTTTCCTATTTAGATATGGAATTGCAGTCACTAGAGATTCCACCTTTGCTGCTAACACAGCTGGTTTACTTGATTAAGCAAAATATCATATTGTTTCACCTACACAACCTTTTGCATTTTTCCTATGTAATTCATACTCGTGGTATTATAATGATAATAATAATTGATTATTTATTTCCATCAAAGTTCTCAGTTTCTTACTGTCTCAAGAGCGTAATTTGAAAAAAATAAACAGGAGTTTAAGGATTTCCCATCTTTTTTGGCCTTCTAGGATTCATAAGACACTCAAAGAAAATGAATACTGGACTGAACATATGTTTGGCCTATCTAAATCTGATTGATCATTCATGTTACTCTTCCATTTGGATGCAAGTGTTGATATCAAAAGGTAGGAAAAACTACCAAGGAGTTGTGTTATTGCTTTACCACTTGTGCTGGATGAAACACATATTAGATATTTATCTTAATTGGAATGGTTAGGAAAGCAATACTGATGTGCTCAAAGCATTTCTTCTGCAGGGTGATTTTTAAAAGACAAAGGAACGGACAGATTGGTGTTGCTTCTAATGTGACACTAGAAGTATATATTGCAGAAAAGGTCACTTTGTTTCCGACAAAACTGAATGCCACCTCTTCTTCACGTACTTACAGTTCATCATTGCCGAGAATACTGCTTCCACAGAACTAGGGGAAACACCGCTTTGTGGCATTTGAACAATCATCTCAAGTGATTAAACAGCAAGAGAGGTGCTGAACAGAGTGTTTTCCATTAACTCTCGAGCAGGGGATTGGGAATTACAAAGGAAAAAGCCAGAGAGAGAAGAGATTTATAAAAAAAAAAAGCATAGGAAGAAAGAATCAAGGCCCTCTCCTCATCCTCAACAGGGAAGAAGAAAAACTGATCTGGCTCATTTATTTTTCCAGCACTCAGTAGTAATTTTTGGACTTTAATTACAAAATGAACCATGTGATACAGACCATGTGTCCAAGTCAACTGACACTTGTATGAATAATTAACCATCTCCCAGTGATCCAGTAATCTCTTAAGCCATTTAACATCAGGTTCAATCCTACACACTGGATTTTCAGGGAGACGGAGGCTGGAGGTCTGCAGGATTTCACATGTGATTTTGCCACCTCCCTTGTAAGTCTGTGAACTTGAAAAACCAACCCAGTAATTTCTTCTCACTATTACAGTTCAATGGCATTTGTACCATAGCTTCATTCTACCCATCTCCCTTAGTTCAGCACTGTCCATGAGAAAGGAACTATCAGCCCAACAAGGAGATCCCAACAACAACAGAAACTAGAACATTACTTTTGTTAAGAAAAAAACTTCATTACATTTTAATGGCTATTAACGTTAGCATTTTGCATTTTATTGGACTGGCAGTTCCAGAGATGACATTTCCTCCTTATTCACAACAGTCAGAAGCGTACACTTGTCCTATGTGAGCTTCTATCAATATTGCTAGTCAATCCTTATCTGCCAGGTACTGAAGTCTTGCCAGTGCTTCATTACACACAGAAGACTACGGAAGCCTGCAAGCAGTCAGTTGTGGATGGAAGTGCCTGCCAACACTTAATACAAATGAAATATTTTAATGACTGAAGTCCCTACACCCACCACTGAATGCCTGAAACATCCTGATCTGCTAATCAGACAGTTTTAGGAAGTTCTGGTATTCCATTCCTAAATGAAAATTAAATTCCTAACTATTGCACTGGTCTCAGTGTAGACACATCTTAAAAGCATCTGAATTGAGGAACACAGGGAACTCAGATGAAGGTTGTATGGTGGCTTTATATTCTGCCTACCAATCATATTGACAACATGATTGTCTTTTAAGCAGCACAAGTGAAAAATGAAGTGTGCAGCAAACAAGAAATACATTCAAGTAGTTAAGATGTCGTGGAATTTTGAATTACATGCCTACAAACATTAGCTTGCTGTGCAGTACTGGATAAGCTGCAATAGCTGTACTTCAATTTCACCCCTGTAAATCCAAAGCAAATATGTAACTCTCCTCTCAAACACATAAATAGATTTACAGGAACTGACATATTTAAAGGAAACCGTAGCTTCTTTGTCCTCTGTGCAATATAAGGACAAGGTTTCTGCTGTATATCTAAAGCTTGTGGGTGCAGCACAGCAAAATTCATAGCAACAAATTTTCACTAGCAAGATATACTATTATTATCAACAAGCTTTACAGTGGCCCAGACGCTGGCGACAGACACCAGTGTGTGGGGGCATTCCTCAGCCTTTTAAGTTCTTCGCCAACTCTCCTTTAGAGTGGGACAAAAAAAACCCCAAACAAAACAGATTGAGATTTTAAAATGGAGCTTGATACATGTATCAAAAGGAATTGTATGAAGCAGTTATTTATGATGAGTTAAGACTGACTCAGGAAATTTCAGTCCTGGCAAGCATCTTCTTCAGTATCTTCACCTGTTTGTGCAGCGAGAACACAAGCGGAACAAGACTCGCGTTAAAAGGCTAGGCAACAATTCAGCCAGCAGTATTATTCTAATAAGCTTTATAGAAAAGGTGTTGAAATAAAAGGGTTTGTGAATGGTAGAGACAGAGACAGCCAATTTTGTTGATGCTGCACAGACTAATTGAAAGGTTGTCAGTCAAAAAACTCCCTCAACTCCAGTGATTAACCAAGAGGTTGAAGTGGACTAGAGGAGGGGCAAGTCTAATAGGATGAAAAAGTTCATCCTGTTAAGAATTTCAAGTTGCATCCTTGGGTGGGGACAGGATTTATTACACATGTCCATGACTGCTTCTGTAAAATCCAGTGCTTACAGTCATTGACACAATAGTAGTGACCGCACTGGCAAGTATTTGTCCTCTGCTTACATGCCTCTAACACCATGTTCTATTCAGCTTGTTTAACTATGACTCGAGGTTTTGGCCACCAGACAGAAGGCTTATTCAGAGTCAGTGTAACAGCTCTCTTAATGGGGATGACCCTCTGTTTCAGGAAGAGCACTGAGAGGAACTCAACCTGTTTTCAAGTGAAGACTGGTAACTATACGAAGAGAGAAGGAATCTTAAAACCAGAAAAACTTTATTCTGAAAAACTAACGAATTATTTCAGTTATTTACAACGCTTAACTCCTGAAGTGATTCGCAGTCCCTCAGTCAATGACCAAACTGGTATTTTTGCACAGGTATAGAGGCACTGGAGCTACCTTCATCAAAATCACTAACTGAGCTATTACATCTTATCTTTTTTAAGAGAGGTGACACTGGCATGGAACATCTACTGATCTGTTCACAGCATGCCTGGATTAGTCAAGTTACAATCATAGGCAAATTGTTTCCCCCTTCCCTTCTCCCTCTCCCCCAAGGTACCCTTAAAGGCCATTCCTGGCACTGTTTCAGAGAAGAGCAAATTGAGGTTTGAGCTTTACAAGCTGTGTACAAACCAGCACTGTCATCATGTGCCCAGAAATGGTGTACAGTCCTGAGGTCTTCATTTCTGCCATACTTCACTCAGACTAAAAGCCTAGTTCTTGCTCAATTCGTCTCAGATTAACTACAGAGGCTACCACATTCAATTACAGAGTCAGAATTTTATCCATACCATTAGTGTGCAAAATACAAGTTCACAGCCTTATCACAAGGCAATATATTATCTATTCAGCAAAAATGGATAAGGAAAGTGAAAATCCCCACACCAAATCTCTGCCATAACAGCCAGACAGTTCTGCCAGCTGGGATATTTCTTTATCCTGACAGATTTCACAGCATGCACGTGCTTGTGTGAGATCATTACTGGCCAGCAACAGAATCTTACTGCTCTAAAGACAAAGTCACCCTGACATTTCAATACCTCTCTCCCTACAGGAAAAACAAAATTACGTCTACTTCACCTGTTTCAGACGGTCAGTACTAAGTTTATGTGCCACTACATCCACAAGTCACTGTCCTAGAGCTATTTACCAAATTCTGGATTTACCAATTCAGTTAATGGTGATATTCAAACTCAGTTTCTGGAAGTCTATGGGCTGACTCTTACATTCCTCCCACCAAAGTAGCTCCTATTCTCAAAAGTCACGGTGCATGAATAGAAAAAAGAACATATACATGCAAATTACTACTTATGGATTACATACTCAGATGAACGTAGAGCAGAGATTTAGTACTTTATGTGGAAGACTAGAACAGGAGGAAATAATTCATAAGATTATTATGAAAGTGAAAAACATTGTATTTGGGTGAAACTGCACAAGGAATTCGATTAGGTACAGTGTGTTTGTGTACATACACATCAATGACAGATTACTACCAAAACATAAAATGATCTTACTGTTAGTAAAACAGTAAAAAAGTGGTAATTTTAAGTACTTCACAGATTGTTTTATGGCCTTTGATTACATCAGCCAATAGCCAAATAAGCACAAAAAGTTTGTTTTAGATAAAGCAGAGGGAATCAGGATTATGAATCCTAGGATAACCTGAAAGTAGATTTATAGAACAAAAATTTAGAGCCATGCAGGAGCTGATCCACTACTTTCTACAGTAAAAAATGTTTAGAATTAATATAAAGCAGTCAGAGTCTCACAGATGGGAAGCTGGTGGATCAAGTTTTCTTAAGACCTGAATGTTAATATTTGGTTCACCATTAATCATTCTTAAACATAAGAGGTTTCCTGGCAGGGGTAGTTACTCTTTAGTATCCAATCACTTAATGCCAAATCAATACCTCCACACATCGCTGCCTTTGGAGAACATGGAGGAGCGGATGACCTCAGGAGCCATCCAGGCATATGTCCCAGCTGCGCTCATTTTGGTAGTTTTATGCCATTCCCTGGCCAAGCCGAAATCCGTGATCTTCAATATCTTGTTGCTCAGATCTCCATTTTCCACCTTTTCGAGTATCAGTACTGGAGAAAAGGGAAGGGGGGGGGAGAGGGGGAATAAAAGGTATGCAGAGTAAAGCTAGTATTCATGCAAAAAATCCTCCTGGAGATTTCCCAAATTTCAAGAGGCTCTGTGACTTTTAGTTATTCAAACATACCACATTCTGTTACAAGTTATTTCAAGCTGATCCCTTCATCTGACAAGTGAACAGCTGTCTAGCAATTAACTTCCAATTTAACAAAAAATACCAAGCCCCAGAGAACAAATAGATAACAACATAATTATTTAATATAGTGCCTAGTGTCATTCTGTACAATAATTCTCTGCTAAGAGGAAGTGAACCACTGTAACTTCTAGAAATCCAGATAAGGGAAGACATTTCCTAATTAATCCTCTCTCAGCAAGCCAGTAATAGCATCTTTTTCTTGAACTGCTTAGAGGACTTTTTTTTTTTAAACCCAGATACACACACAGGCTGGATATATCCTTCATGTAAATGTGTTAGGAGTGGAAGCTCTACATACACCGATTTTTTTTTTTTAAAGTCACAATTTAAAAAAAAAAAGATTGATTATCTGTAATAACATGCCCAATTCAAGACTTCATATATACCACCATGTTACAGATTCCCTCCCCCATCGTTATGAAACTACTTTTAGTTAAGCTGCCACAGTTTCTACCATGTTTCAGTGGCAAAGGAGTCTGCACTGAAGAACTTGAAAAAAAAAAAAAAACCTTCAAGAATGCTTTGGTATAAGGCACATACTCCTCTTTTGTCAGAAAGCTGTACTGTGAAATGAGTGTAAGCCAGAGGCCAGAAGTATCCACTCTGCTTTAGCAGCACCTCATTATCCTCGTTCTTTATCTTAATGTAAAGTGACCACACAAACTGCGCCAGCAATGTAATGTTAAGCAACAGAACATAACAAGCCATTAAACTTTCATAACTAACGTAGCCATAGCCTGTGAAATGATTTTCAGCCACTTTATGAAGAGCTACAAAGAAAAAAATATTTGTATTACCATTAGTCCAACGACTTCACAGCAACTGGCATCAAGCCACTAAGATACCATCATTATGCAGCTACTGTTTTTAATGTCATTACAGACACAGGTCTGTACAAGAGAGGGTTTTTTTCCTCTTTCTACGTACATGTGTGTGAATTGCAAAATAAAACCAAAAACCCAAACCCACAACCAAACAATCATGGATCACAACAAAACCTATAAAAGTCAGAAGCATTGCAAAAATTACAGGACATATAAAAGCCATCTTCAGGACTGTTTTTAGCAGTCCATGAAAAGACTCAAGTATCAGTCTCGAGCTAACACAGCTTTTTTGGGGAAAAATAATAATAATAAAAAAAAAAATCTTACATTCAGTCTCATACTTCCCTCCAATAACCAAAATGGGATTTCCCATGAAATAAAAGCCAAAACTGTTATTTCAAACCTTCTGCATAATTACTAGGCATCTAAATGTTAAAATACTGCATTTACTTTTATTAAACAAACTGCTTGTTCTCCGAAAACTGAAAAAAAAAAAAATCAGCTACCCTTTCTACAAGGCTTCAGAAATTGCAAAATACTACTAAATATTTCTGTGGGCCAACTCAAGTTGTGAATGAACTAGACCTATGGTTAAGCTCTTGGTTCTTGCTCCTTTTGCAAAATTCATTTCTAACATTATTGAATGCTCCATTTTCCTAACTGCAAAGGAAGGAGGAGTTTGAGGCCTAGAGTTACTATTCTCTTCATTTGGGCAAAACCATACGTATTTTTAGAGCCACATTTCAGTGTAGAACAGAACCACCTCAAGTAACAAAGGTACAGAAAGGTACAGCTCCTTGCTGCCTCTTCTTCTAGTAAGCCTAATTTTCTTCCTTCTTTCTAGCAGATGAACGACAGAAATAGCTAACAAGTCACTGTTTGATTTCAAGAGTGAAAAACTTCCTGGAATATATGTACTAAGTTTCTTCTTTTAGCATGTACCCACTCTGCCTAAAGAACTGGCAGAATAATAAAATCTAATTTTAAGTTTAAATGCAGTAATATAGACAGTGAAATTGTAAAGGTAAAGTAAAACTTCGAAACAAGAAAGCATGGTTTTAGGGGTTTTTTGCTTCCCTCCATAAGCACGAGTAACAAGCAAATTGGTTGTTCACAAGGTAGATCGTATTCTGTCTGAATGAACTCAATAGCAGGACAGAGAGACAGATATCATAGGTGGGTTGTACATACCTTCCTGGCAAGAGGTTATTTAAATCTAATTACCCTGATTTGTATTAAGTTCTAACAAAATAATTAGTACTTACACAGATCTTTTGTATCCATGAACTTGTTCTTTTTTCAGATGTAGGCTAAGTAAGATAAATTACCATGACAAAAGACCACAGAGAAGGGCAATGAAAGAGCTGGATTTATTGCCAGTCCTTGATTCCTTAAGTTACATCCTTGGTTCCCCTCCTATTTCCTTGTAATAACTGCTTGGGATAATAATCCTGCAACCCAAAATTGTAAAAATTAATTTTAAGAATCATACCTCTCTCCATCATGTGTTTCAGTTCTCCTTATCTTGGGCCAGTATCGATAGGCTCCTTTGTAACTGCTAGGAGTCTCCCTAGCTCATCTGTCAGATTTTTTCAGACCGAAAACTGTGACTCTCCCTCTTGTGTTTACTCAGATTTCAATGAAGAATCTTGTAAATAGGTGAAACATTAATTCCTTTCAGTTTGCTTCTTAAAAATCTCTTTTATGGAGAATATATGCCAATTTGCTAGGACACTGCAAATGCATTTTACTCATGCTAATCAACACGGTCTCCCTTGCTTGTGAGCTTTATCTACAACCAGTTATTGCCTCATTTTTAATACTTTGAGTGCAAGTTCTCTTCTGCAAGTGCTATTTCTTCTGCACTCCTATTAGTCTACCACAATATGAAACAAGCAAGCAACATACTTCCTGCACTTAGAGAGTTAACATACCTTTCCATCTTTGAATAGATTTGATCACTCAGGACAGCTAACAGTGGCCAGATGATCAGCCTAACAAAAAAAAATAATTCAGACACAAATATAGAGCACCTACAGCAAAAACACAGCGAATCTACCAACAGTAAATCTTCTCATTCTGGTCTGTTGATTTAACAGATCTGCATGAGACAAAGAGGTTTAAAAAAAAAGATAGAAAATTGAATTGAAAATTGTTCACAATCCCAGCCTTAAAAACAGAATTTATTTGGCAGCAAAGATACTGGGCCTAGTTTTCAGGCAACCAGGGAAGGACGAGAGCCGAATCGGCAGGAACGTATGTGTCAGCTTGTTAGTGGTGTTATCACTGTTTCCCCATTCTATGCAAGAAATCTCTTCCTGTGTGCGTGCACAGAACCAGCCAAGTAGTAGATGAAGGTATGCGATGTACTACTGCTCCTACCAACTCAAAACCATCTTCTTTTCTCTGTAGTGCAGGCTAAAAGCTGATCTTAAGTAGCATGGGTAGGAGCCAACTGGCAGTATGCAAAAGGGATGGGTGAAGCAAACCGGGTATTACAAGCACATTCAGACAGCTTTGAGGATCCAACTGCTACAGCAAAACAACTTAATATAGCAAATCACCAACACCATGTTCTTTGCATACTGCAAGTGCAAAGCAAAGCACAGTGGCTTAAACTAGCATTAAAAATTGTTAGCAACTTCAGGTGAAGGGTATCATGAACATATGTGCTTACAGGACTAATAATCCCAAAGTGCTCACATACATTTTCATATATTCCCAAACGACTTGGAACTTGTCCTCTGGAAAAGAAGCATTTGATATTGAGAAATGTGTCTAGCACAACAGCTCAGATGAAGAGCTGCCTTGCTAGACACAATTTCATACCTCAAGGTGTCCTAGCCGATGACACAACAAAGGAATGTGATCCAAATAGGCCTTGGTATCTCCTAGCAAGACCTTCCCTGGATCAGGCAGTTATCCAGATACAGGTACGTATGATTTAGAGGTGTAATTTCAACTACTAAGAGTTCATCAAGAACTTTATTACCATGACGACTCTGGTAATGATGGGACCCCACTGTTTAATTTACTGAAAGCCAGGCAGATTGCAAGTGCTGAAAGACAACAGTCAATCAAGACACATTAGGTCTGAGTTAGAGAGATACAAACGTAGAAATTAAGCACTGGGCCTCCTCTTACTAGGTTATGATGAAGACCAGACTCTTTTTCTTTGAAATGAAAATGTCTGTTGAGGTTCCTCCATATTCTTTGAGAATATCTTTGGTGCCTTACAAAAAGCATCAAGGGTATTTTCATATCAGACTCTTGTGAGAAAGTTTCCTGAGGTACAGAGCAAGAAGTAGGCACCACATAAACAAAGCGGTCGGTTAGGTAACCAAAGGCAAAAAGCCAACACTTACTGGTTTGATGACGAGACAGACTGACTAGCAGAAAAGTATAAGGCAAAATTCAAAGATTACTTGGCAAGACAGTCTGGTGCAGTCCTTAGTCATACTGTCTGACATTACAGCAAGTAAACGAACAACTGTGTATCACTAGAGAAGAGAAAATTCGTCATTATATTTTCAGTACTTTTTAACACAGGTTTTCATCTATGTGATGCTTTGGCTTCTGCTCAGGACAAAACAAGCTGCAGTAACAAAGAGGAAAGGAAGTACTCCGTGACTCACTTTCATCACTAACTTTACAGCATTTTCAGTTGTCTCCAAGCAGTTCAGAGCTATAGGTGGCAGTTGGCAGCCTACTCTCTGAAGATTTAGGATACTTTGTGCTTGGGACTTTGATAGTTCATGGACAATAACCATTGTGTTCACAGCAGTAACTGCAGTACCCAGTCCTGTAAGACCACCACAGATACTAAACAGCCTTTCTTAATTGCGTGCTTCAATTTGCCTTTGTTGCCATAAGTGAACTCAGCAATCAAGATCCGTATTATCATAGAATTATCCATAGTCAACAAGTCCTGGCATTTACCCCATCAGAATCACAGTAATGTGGAAGAGTATAT